GATTAGAAAATACAATGAGCAGTAAGGAAGAAACTCACCTATAGTCCAGTATTTGGAGGGAATGTCTGTTTGAGTGGCAGATTAGACTTCCAGGAAGTTTTTCCATGCCTCCATATGAAAATAGTTCAATGCATGTATAGCTATGTAATTTTAAAATCTAAATAAGTAATATAAACTCAGTGAAGCAAGAATCTCATTACAGAAGCACATAAATGCATGCTTGGCATACCTTTCAGGAAACTTACTAGCCAGCTCTGGTTACATTGGCTGCATAGGAGCAGGAGAACTGGGGCTAGATTCCCTGCGTTCCTCTTTGTGCTCTGAATTCTGAACCATGTAAATGTGGCATCTACTCAAAAATGACAAAACTGCCAGGTGTGGTGGCGCACGCCTTTAATCCCAGCACTTGGGAGGCTGAGGCAGGAGGATCGCTGTGCATTCGAGACCAGCCTGAGCTACATAGTGAGTTGCAGGTCAGTCTCAACTACATAGTTAGACCCTGTCTCAAAAAAACAACAACAACAAAAAAATTACAAACCTAATAAAACGATATATAAAATAAGAAAGCCATCCCTAATCATCTCCCTTACTTCTACCTCTCAGCTTCACATGTGATTAACAGTTTGCTTTTTTAACTTTCCGGGTCTTTCTCTATGCTTGGACAAAGTACACTTTTTGTTTTTTGGGTTTTTTTTTTTTTTTAAATAAAGATACAGGTATATTGTATACACCGTTTCTGTAATGGACAGGATCATATTGCATGAATAGAGACTTTTTTGTTGTTGTTAATGCTGGATGTTTTGTTTTCCCCTGCCTAAATGCTTATTATAAAATCAAAGATCACAGAATCCAATAAGCATAGGAAAGAAAGTCTAAAACAGGACCCTCTATTTCAGTGTTTTAAACATAGAGCCAGAGGTCTAAAAGGAGCTTCGAAAGGAGAGGGCCCTCGGGGAGGAGAGGAACACCAGAGGCTTCAAAGGGGATATTTTGGTTTTATCTGCTTAGTGTATATTTTTACAGTGAAAATGTATTCTTGTGTAGTAATTGATTTTTAAGAATTTTGTAGTCTACACTAGTATATACCTGTAATTCCAACACTTTAGGAATCTGAGGCAAGAAGATCCCACATTCCAGCCCAGCCTGGCCAATTTAGTGAGACCCTGTCTCAAAATAAAAAATAAAAAGAACCGGGGCTGTAGCTCAGTGTGAAAGCCTTGGTTCAATCCCCAGTATCACACACACACACACACACACACACACACACACACACACACAAAAGTATAATCTTTCAAAAAAAATTTTAAAGGAAAAACTCTGGAAGACTATGTTCCCATCCTCTGCTCAAGAATAAAAATAAAATAAAATAAAGTTTAAAAAGTGGAGGGGAAAAGTTCAGGTGCTCTATGTCCTCACAGTGCCCCTGCTGTCGAGCACCCTGTCTCCACACAGACACATACGCGTGTTTCTAGAACAATGACACTAGGCTGTCATGGTTCTTAGTAACAGTATTGAGATATGAAGTTTGTCTTTTTTCTCCTTATTTTACAGTGGTAGGCCTGACACATGCTCAGCAAGCGCTACGACACTGAGCTACACTCCCAGCCCATTTATCTTTTTTTTATTTCATTTTGTTTTTGGTACTGGGGATCCAGCTCAGGACCTTGCACCACTGAGCTAAATCCCTGGCCTCCAAGTTTATCCTTTTAAAGTGCACAGTTCCACTGTTTTTAGTGTACTCAGAGTTGTGCAACTGTCACCATTCTCAAACTCCGAGACATTTTTGTCACCCCTGAAAGAAACCTTTCGCCCATTAGCAGTCACTTCCCATTCTACCCTTCCCCAGGTCTTGCTGTCACTAATCTGCTCTCTGCCGGAGGGATTTGCCTCATCTCAACATTTCCTGTAAATGGAACCACGTGATACGAGCCCAGCTTTGTTCCTTTGCATGGTGTTCTCTGCACTCCACGTTATAGCGTTGTAGCGTGTGTCAGAACTAAATTCCTGGCTAAACAGTTTTCACTTGTGTGGCTAGACCTCATTTTGCTTATCTGTCCCTCCGTTGGTGCGCGATGTATTTGGGCTGTAGGTTTTGTTTGCAAGTTACTTCCCCTTACCAAGTGTCATGTTAAGACTCTCATGACCTCCCTGTCCTCTCTGATTGCTGTGCATGGATTGCACTGGTTCCTGTGCGATTCTCCTCAGTGCCTTTGGAGACCCCTGGTTTAGCCGCATTAACACTTCACTTCCTTCAGGTAATCAGATAGCTTGAGGGCTTTTTTTGGTCACCTAACCCATGGCTCAATATTATAATGAGGAAATGGGATTTCAGGGAGAGGAAGGATTCCTGAAGATCCAGTGTGTGGGTCTCAGGTGATGGCAGGGCCAGATCAGTACCTGCCCCCGCAGCCCTACATCCCCGTATCCCCAGCTTTTGTTGAAGGGTTTGTTTTGTGACTCCCACCCCATCTCCCCTTTCCTTCTGTGTTTTTGTTTTGTTTTTTGGTACCAGGCATTGAACTCAGGTCCTTGTCTTTTCGAGGCAGGCAAGTGTACCACTGAGCTAAATTCACGGCCCGCTTCTGTGTTTTGAAACATCCCAGGGCCGCTCTTCTCAAATACTGGCTCCCTGCTCTTGGCACCTGGAAGAATCTGAAGTATCCGTCTTTGCCTTCCTGCCTCATTTGCATCCCAAAAGGTCTCTAGGATCTGGTTGGGCTGGAAAACAGACTTGGAGCTTATCTGGAGCTCCTCTCCTTGGCTCAATTTACATTTCAGAATCACCTGGGGAATTATTTTAACTCCAGATGCCTGAGATCTGCCCTAGAGGATTAGATCAGAATCTTTGGGTGTGGCACCTGGTGCATCTATTTTTTGAATCCCCTTTGATAATTCTGATATGAACCCAGGTTAAGAACCACTGTACTAGCATAACTCTGGCCCTTGTTAAAGACATGTTTTCAGCCAGGTATGGTATAGCATACTTGTAATCCCAGCTACTTGGGAAGCTGAGGCAGGATGATTGCAGTTTTGAGGCCAGCCTGGGCAACTTAGACCTTGTCCCAATAATTAGAATAAAACAAACAAAAAAAAAAGTAAAAGGAGTAGGGATGTAGCTCAGCACTACCTGGCTTCAATGTGCAGTACTAGGGGGTGAAAGGGAGGGCACATTTTCTCTAACTGACTTTGAAACTTGATGGAATTGGTCCTAGTTTGACCATGAATTTGCTTTGGGACCTTATCTTTGTTCCAGTAAAGTGGGGTATGTTTTAGGTCAGTGATTCTAACCTTGGATTAGGTTGATGGCTCACCTGGTGGGGGTGAGGCTTGGGGTGAGCATGTATCCAGTCCTGTGGAAACATTTTCAGAAATCCAGCCCTGCTAGCCCAACTTGGAAAGTTGAAAGCAACCTAAGTGTGATTTCATTCACAGGCAGTATGAGTCAGTGCTCTCTCGGGAGGAAGTGTTCAATGGAATCACAAATCTAATTGAGTGACTTTTTTAAACAGAAAAACTTCAGGAATGATTATTGTAGCATTTCCTTAAATTTCCTTCCATAGGATTGTGCCATTTTGCAGTCTTGCCAGCAGTAAATGAGCATTCGTATTTCACCGGAGTTTCATCATTTTATATATTGTCAGGTGGTTTGGATTTTTTGCCAGTCTGATAGATGAGAAAAGGTACCTTAGTGTAGCCTTCATTTGCATCTCTCTATCACAAGTCAGGCTGAACATCTTCTTATGGTTAAGATCCATTTGCCTTTTTCTGAGAACTCTTTTTCATATCTAGCCCATTTTCCTATAGGTTCACTGACCCATTTAGTCTGTTTATAGAGCTCTTTACATATTTAACATATCAACCCTTTATCAGTGTTATAAATTGCAAATATCTTCCCCCATTTATCATTTATACTTTTACTTTTCTTAGGATTTTTTTCCACATAGAATTTGCTTGTATAATTACATGTATCAATACCCACCCCAAGTCTTCAAGATTTTAAAATCCTGTTTGTCATCAGTCTGTTGTAATGATTTCTAAGTCTGCTGTGTAATTTTTATACCTATGTCCATTTTATTTATTAGTATTTGTTTTGAATTCAGGTTCCCACAAGATATCAGCCCCATGAGGACAGAGTCCCTCTGAGGTGATTTGCACGCAGAGGTCTAGGAAAGAGTTGTCTTCCCTACATGACTGTGTTTCGTCAGGGGCTCAGGCAAAGGGAGAAGTTGAGTCACACCAATGACTTTAACTGGTTCCATGGAGAGCTCTGGACCTAAGGTGGTATTTGGAATCGAGTCAAAGGGGCAGGGACCAGGCATTGGACATGGACTCCAGCAGGGAGGGTACATGACTTGGACAGGATGGCTCCTCTCAGCCAATGAGCATCCCTGGGAGGGTGCCCAGCCTTGAGTTTTTTTTGTTTGTTTGTTTTGGTACTGGGGATTGAACTCAGGTCCTTGTGCTTATGAGGCAGGCACTGGAACCACTGAGCTAAATCCTCGGCCCTCAGCTTTGAGATTTTATCCAGGGAAATGAGTATCTCGGCTGAAGGCATCAGGGCAGGTCACTACAATATCCTCCCTAGTACCTTGCCCATCTCATTCACTGCTATGTTCTCTCAGACTGTGCCTGCTATGCAGTAGATGTTCCTAACTGTGCCTGGCACATGATGAGTGCTCAGGAAATGAAAGATAAGCAAGAACAGAAACCCAGATTTCCAGGTCTTGGTCCAGGCCACCTGAATCATCTGTGGAGATGACAAAGAGGTGAGGAGCCCTGAGCAGGCCTGTTCACAATCGTCTCCTCTAATTTTTCTGGACTGTCCCTCTTTGCAGCCCATAGGGTGGTTTTGAGGGCCCCGCTAGTGCAGCAGTGGGTGTATGTCAAGGCCTGGATATGCCTGGGCTCGGTTCCTAAAATGACTGCAGGCCTTGTGACTGCTCTTTGGATGTGTGTCACCCTTGGGAGCTATTGATTCTCACAGTTTTTTCTCCCTCCAGCATTCCTTGAAGAAAAGAGGAACCCGTTCCCTGGGGAAAACAGACAAGAAGCCTTCTTCTGCACAGGTACTTCCCAGGAGCCCTGCAGGCAGGTCATAGTCTGAAGGCCTCAGCCTAACTCCATGTGGCCAGGGGAGTCCCCAGCGATGTTCAGCCCACCCCAGCTTCTACCCTGTCCTCTCCTTATTCATTTTTTTGGCTTAGCTACACACTGCACTTCCCAGAACCACGCTCTGAGCCTGGGTTTCTTACATGTTCAGGCTTCCTTGGGCCCCAGATTTTCTGATGATAACCAAACCCGAAGGTCCAGAGTCAGAACTCTGACTTTGCCACTTGATTACTTATATGATTGGGTTGAGTCACTTCAACTTTCTGGCCTCAGTTTCCTCATCAGTCCCTATGTCGTGGGCCTGTTGCAAGAATTGGATAAAGTGATGCATGCTGCAGAGGTGAGGCACAGAATAGCATTAGCTGCTGGGTCCTAAGAGGGGACAGGGTACCGAGCACTTTTATACATTATCTCTTTTAATCCTCTCCATGGCTGCCCTAGAAAGGCGGTTATTTCCACATCTTAAGTGATAGAAGGTGCTAGGGATGTAGCTTGGTGATAGGATGCATGAAGCCCTGGGTTCAAGCCCTAACACATTAAAAAATAAAGGAGTGGTAGCAGCAGCAGCAGTCATCTCTCAAACTCCAGCCTGTGGGTGCTGTTCCATCCTTGCTACAGTACCTGGGCTTGGTGGCACACACTACCCAGCACTTGGAAGGCTGAGGCAGGAGGATTAAGACCAGCCTGGGTTATATAGTGAGTTCAAGATCAGCCTGAAATACATAGAAAATCCCTGTCTCAAAAAAAAAAAAAAATCAGTGTCCCCTAAACTCCTCTGGACATCCAGCTCCTTGAGGGTCAGGCTATATCTGGTTCACCCCAGTGTTCCCGGCATGGAGTTAGTGTTTCTCTAAATGCTATGGCTGGTTCTGTGCCAGTACTGACCTTCTCGGCTGGTGTCTCACCCTGTGCCCATTGGGCCCCAGGAGGACAGCGCAGACCTGAAGTGCCAGCTGCACTTTGCAAAGGAGGAGTCAGCTCTCATGTGCAAGAAGCTCACCAAGTTGGCCAAGGAAAACGACAGCATGAAGGAGGAGCTGCTCAGGTACCGCTCGCTCTATGGTGACCTGGATGCTGCCCTGTCAGCTGAAGAACTGGCAGATGCCCCGCATTCCAGGGAGACTGAACTGAAGGTGCACCTGAAGCTGGTGGAGGAGGAGGCCAACCTGCTGAGCCGCCGCATTGTGGAACTGGAGGTGGAGAACCGGGGCCTGCGGGCTGAGATGGATGACATGAAGGACCACAGCAGTGGTTGTGGGGGCCCTGAGGCTCGCCTGGCTTTCAATGCACTGGGTGGCAGTGAGTGTGGTGAGAGCCTGGTGGAGCTGCGGAGACACCTGCAGTTTGTGGAGGAGGAGGCCGAGCTGCTGCGGCGCTCCTCTGCTGAGCTCGAGGACCAGAACAAGCTGCTGCTGAATGAGCTGGCCAAGTACCGCTCTGAGCATGAGCTGGACGTGACCCTGTCAGAGGACAGCTGCTCGGTACTCAGTGAACCCTCACAGGAGGAGCTGGCAGCGGCCAAGCTACAGATCGGTGAGCTCAGTGGGAAGGTCAAGAAGCTGCAGTATGAGAACCGTGTGCTGCTCTCCAACCTCCAGCGCTGTGACCTCGCCTCCTGCCAGAACATGCGCCCCATGCTGGAAACAGATGCCGAGGCTGGGGACTCTGCACAGTGTGTGCCCGCTCCCCTTGGTGAGGCCCATGAGCCCCATTCTGCCCGGCTCTGCAGGGCCCGGGAGGCCGAGGCGCTGCCAGGGCTGAGGGAGCAGGCCATCCTGGTCAGTAAGGCCATAGACGTCCTGGTGGCTGACGCCAACGGCTTCTCAGCAGGCCTCCGACTGTGTCTGGACAATGAGTGTGCCGACTTTCGGCTGCATGAGGCCCCTGACAATAGTGAGGGCGCCAGGGACAGCAAGCTCATCCATGCCATCCTGGTACGGCTGAGTGTGCTCCAGCAGGAGCTGAATGCCTTTACACGGAAAGCAGACTTGGTCCTCACAAGCTCAGGCAAGGAGCAGCCAGAGCCCTTCTCGCAACTGCCTGCCTTGGGCTCCCAGGGGCCATCCAAGGAGATCATTCTGGCCAAAGATCTTGGCTCAGACTTCCAGGTAAGATGTCCCGGTCATAAGCACTGTGACTTTTATGTTACGTAAAGTTTATACTGAACCATAACATACAGAGAGGAGGGCATGGAACACAAGTGTACAGACTCGAGTGTTCCACAGTGAGCATGCTGGTGAAACTGTCCCCCGGAACATGACCAGCAACCCAAGAGCCAACTCATCCCCCTATAGTCACCATCCCTGCTCCCAAGGATCACTCCTCTCTTCATTTAGTTTTTTTGTCTTAATTTTTAAAATAAATTTTATTTTATCCCACTCCCCCTCAAGCCCCCTCCCCTCCATGTACAAAAGCTTCATTTCCATTTTTTCCTGTCATTCAGCATTGTTTGTTACTGCATGTAGCAAATTTCTCTTTTTTGTTTGTTTGTTCTCTCTTTTCTTTGAAGGGTTTGCTATTTTTATTTTTGTTTTACTGTACTGGGGATTGAACTCAGGACCTTGAGGTTATGAGGCAGACACAGCACCATGGGGCTAAATCCCCTAAATCACAAAAGTTTCTTTATTCTTCTTACTAGGTATGACCCCCTGGATTGAGTATACCACAGATCACTTACTCATTTATTATGGATAGACACTGATTCCAAGGCCCAATCTTTCTGCCATGATATCTTTTCTTCTATTTGTTTTGCAATTTAAAATTTTTTTAAACATTTTTTTAAAAGTCTGATCAGTTTCAATGTAAAGGCAAGATGGTAAGTTAGGCATAGTGCCTCTCCTCTGTAGTCCCAGTACTCTGGAGGCTGATGCAAGAGGATTGACACTAGCCTGGGCTACATAGTAAGATCCTGTCTCAAAAAACAGCTCATCCTCAGAGCTTTTTATAAGTAATGGACTTCAAGCCTTGGTGTCCGTAAAATACTACTCAGGAAAATTAAAATAGCAAAGACTGCCCCACCACACTGCTAAAAATGCCATATTGCAAAAGAAGACATAGATGTTTAAAAAGATTTAGAAGTGGGCTGGGGATTTAGTTCAGTGGTTCCGCTGCCTGCCTGGCAAGTGCAAAGTCCCAAGTTTGATCCCCAGTACCAAAAAAAAAAAAAGATTTGGAAATGCCAGGGGTAAAAAGATGAAAGCCCGCAAACCCACTTCCCCTATCTCCCACTGGTACTACTAATTTTTTGTTGTTATTTTACAGTACTAGATAGAATGCAGCACCTTGACATGTTTAGAAAGCGCTCTACCACTGAACTACATCTCTAGCCCTGGTGCTTCTGTCAGTAGTCTGGAGTGGTGCTGTCCAGCATAGTAGCCACGGTCACACAGGCACTGTGGTGTAGCTCTGTGGTTGAAAGCGTGCTTTGCCAGCGCTGGGTCCTATACCGAACACCGCATTAATTAATTAACTAATTAGAACTACTTAGAGTTAAAAATTCAGTTCTTCAGTTTCAGTAGTCACATTTCAAGTGCTCGGTTGTCACACACTGGGCATGTTATCTAGTTACATAGATCTAGGATATTTCATCCTTATAGGCTGCCTCTCTAAATCTTTCTGTATATATATTCTCATGTATTTGCTTTTCACCCCTTATACCTACTACTACTAAACAAGTGTATTTTTCTCATGCATCTTATGTGTTCATTTGCTGGGATGATTCACGTATAGTATATACACTTTCTGTTCTTGGTGCTGAAGGTGTCATGGTAAGCAAAACCAGACAGGATTCCTGCTCCTAAGGCCCTTATTGTCTAGTGGGGGAGAGTCAATCAAAATGCCATGCCAGTAAATGTGAAATTACAAACTGAGAAGAGGTATGTGAAAGAAAGATAAATGGTTTTCTGAACAAGGAATTTGACCTAGACCCTGGGGACAGCTCAGATCAGAGGCAAAAGGAACATGGGGTATCCAAGGATCTGAGCAAAGAGGAGGGAGGCTGGACTACAGAACACTGGGAGCTTTGATCTGCATCGGAGAGCAACAGCAGAAATCTATCATGTCTGTGCAGAGAGATTTAGCTCTCTCTTTCTAATAACTACACAGTGGCACTATGCCAAACTTTAACTCATGCCCTGTAGAGCTGGCTTGATGTTTCTTTTTTAAACAAGCAGTCTGCCCCATAGTGAGTCTCCCTCTTGGTTCTTCTTAAAATGCGTGTAAGCTAGGAACATACACGCGATAGGATGGCTGGCTGTTTCAGAGGGTTTGTGTACAAGATAGACACTGACAAAAGTAGTATTTCACTCGCCGCTGCTTATTCGTCTTTTCATCAAACACTGAGCGGCACTCCTAAGCACTAGCCCTTAGCAGGGCTGGGTCTAGACAGCAGAGGTAAATCCATCTGGAGCTGTGCTCTTGTGGATGGTGGGAGCCCGAGGCCCTGGGATGAGGGCTGTATATGACACCCCTGTGGTGTCTCCCCTGATTTTCTTTTGTTTTCTTCTGTCTGTGTCTCTGGGTGTAGCCACCTGACTTCAGGGACCTGCCAGAATGGGAGCCCAGAATCCGAGAGGCCTTCCGCACTGGTGACTTGGACTCGAAGCCTGACTCCAGTTGGAGCTTCAGGCCTTACCGAGCTGAAGACAATGATTCCTATGCTTCCGAGGTGGGTCTAACTCTAGTCAAGCAAGAGGTTGGATGGGAAGAGAGTGGCTGGGGCCTCCCAAAGAGAATGATCTATGGAGGGTGAGTATATGAGTTTCAGGTGGAAAATGAAATAAGAAAGTTTGGGCCATTCTTATGGCATAATTAAAGGAAGCTTATAATCTCATCTGAAGAAATTGATTTTTTTCTGTATTAACTTCCACTGGAAATTTAATACTTTGTGTCATTTAGTTTAATTACTAATTTGTGTAGCGGGCAGGCAGTCCGGGTTCTGGTTGTAGATCCACGCTACAATGGCTATAAGAGCTTGGTTAAGTAAGTTACTTCACCTCCCTGACTTCAGCTTTCCAACCTACAAGATGAAAATCTCACAGGGTTGTTGAAAGAGTTGAGTATATGAAGTCTTACTCAAGGTCTGGTCCAAGGCTGAGGATGAGGGTGCCCTATCGCTTGGACTTAGGGGACCTGTGTGCAAGTCTCTGTTCTGCCAGCCAATGAGGCTGTGTGACCTTGGATACATTCCCACCCTCTGGACCCAGCTTGTACCATGGGAAGATGAGAAATGTTACCATAGGATTCTCTGATCCTTGGGGAATTCGAGGTGATTCTGAGCCCCTCCCAAGCCTTGTCAGCACTTCATAAAGAACCTGGAGTAGGAAAAGGGCTGTGTGGACTGGGCTGATCATCCCTGAGACTCTTGTCCACAGAGGCTATTGCATGCAGCACAGCCTCAGCGTCCCTTTCTTGCAAGCACCCCTGGGAAGGTGACTTTGATGTCCTGGGGGACAGCCTGCCTGCACCTGTGCAGAAGTTTTTTTGAAGGAGAAGAATCAAATTCTCTTAAGTGAGGTGCACTGAGCTTGAAAGTAGTTCTGGCAAAAAGGGGAAAAATAGAGGCTGAGGTGGTTGTTGTAGTGTGTAGTTCAGAGGTAGAGCACATACTTATTATCCTATGCAATCTAAGTTCGATCTATAGCACTCCCCCCAAAAAGTGGCTGGGAATATAGCTCATTGAATAGCATGCATGAGGCCCTGGGCTTGATCCCTAGCATAGGGAGGAAAAAAAAAAAAAGGAGCTGTTTAGTTCTTATTCTCTCAGAAAAGGAAATAGACCTATTTCTATAGGCATACTTGCAGAGAAAATTATTTCCTGCATGCAGTTAATTACTGTTTTATTTAGCTATTCTTTATGGAGCAGTTATAATTGTGAAGAATTCAGCTGAACATTGAGTTCAAGGAGAATATCAGAGAGGCCTGATAGTACCTAGCCCTACAAAGATTTTGTTTTGTTTTTTTCTATTTTTTATGATACTAGGGATTCTAGGGATACTGTGGATACTAGCCCCATATATCTGTCTGTCTATTTATCTATCTAATTTTTTTTTTCCTGTACTGGGAATTGAACTTAGGACCTCGTGGAACCACTGAGCCAAATCCCAGGCCCTCTATCTTTTTTTTCTTTTTTTTTTTCTTTTTTTTGGTACCAGGGATTGAACTTGGGTCCTTGAGCTTGCGAAGCAGGCAGCAGAACCACTGAGCTTAATCCCCAGCCCAATCTATGTAATTTTTGAGACAGGGTCACTAACTCACTAAATTGCCCAGGCTGAGCTAAAACTTGGGATCTTCCTGCTTCATCCTCCCAGAGTGGTGGGATTACAGGCATGTGCCACTTTGCTCAGCTCTGTTTTGTTTTTTGTGCAGTACTGGCAATTGTACCGAGGACCTCATGTATGGTGGGCAAATGCTCTACCATTGAGCTACACCTCTAGCCTGCTGCAGTGTTTTTTGCTGTTGTTGTTTTGTTTTGCTTTGTTTTGTTTTTTTCTGGTTACCAGGATTGAACTCCGGTCTTTGTGCTTGTGAGGCAGGTGGTAGAACCACTGAGCTAAATCCCTGGCCCTGCAATGGTTTTTAATATAACATAGGTACATAAGACATATCTCAAGTCAGTGTACCTTCCACTGCCAAATTATCACTTTATTGGGTACATAGTTCATGTTTATTTTCTTTTGCAGAGGGACATCTGCCGTGCCTAGGAAGGTTTTATGTAGGAGTTGGGACTTCTGCTTAATATGGCAATATAAACATTTCCCTCTGGGGCTGGGGATTTAGCTCAGTGGTTCCGCCACCTCCCTCACAAGTACGAGGAACTGAATTTGATCCATGGTACCAAACCAAACCAAACCAAACATTTCCCTCTGTTAACAGAAATGCTTAGTAAATTTTAAAAAAATGTTTGAAAAAGGGTCTTACTGTGTAGCCAGGCCGGTCCCCAACTCACCAGCTCAAGCAGTTCTTCCCCCTCAGCCTCCAGAGTAGCTGGGATGATCAGGGTGCACCCCCACACTCAGCTGACATTTTTTACTGAAGCATCACATACATAGAGAAAACTGCTCACGGACTGGGGACACGACTCAGTAGTAGAACTCTTTCCTAGCACACACAAGTCTGTGAGTGTGATCCCCAGTGCTATGGAAGGGGAAGGGCGTGATCATAGCAGAAATCAGATTTTCACAAACTGAACTCTTACGTAATCAGCACCCAGATCAATAAACAGCGTGAAAGTTCCTGTTGTGTTCCCTTCTAGTCACTAACTGGATTTCTAAGAGAGTAGATTAGTTCTGACAGACACAGTGGCACAGTTACACAGGAGGATCACAAGTTTGAGACCAATCTGAGCACCTTAGCAAGACCCTGTTTCAAGGGAAAAAGAAAAAAGCTAAGGGTATAGCTCATGCCTAGAGTGCTGCCTAGTGTGCTCAAGACCTTGGGTTCAAATCCTCAGTATTGGGGGGAAAAAGCTTAGTTTTGCCTGCTTGGCTACAAATACTTTTAAATACCAATTTCTATGAAAATGTGAAATTTTAAAAATCTTTTTCTTAAGATCTTATCACATAGTCATTGTAACAACAAATAACTTAACAAAATCTATAAGCAGCATTGCATACAGATATAAAGGAGAAAGTCGATACCATGCAATCCTCATGTAGTTAAATGCTGTTTACATTTAGAATGTATGTTTTCCTGTCTTATAACGTAGTAATATACATACAATAAGAAGTATAGAGTTGAATAGATTTTTATATTATATATAGATCCTTCAAATATATATATTTTAATCTCCATAATTTATTACTTACATTTTTAATTTTATTTATTTATTTATTTATTTTGGTATCGGGGATTGAACTTGGGTCCTTGCACTTGCAAGGCAGGAGGCAAAACCACTGAGCTAAATCCCCAGCTCTATACTTACATTTTTTTAATTTTTGCAATTAGACAGTGTGAGACAGCTGGGTGGAGTGTCTTGTGTCTGTAGTTGCAGCACTTTGGTGGCTGAGACAGGTGGATTGCTTAAGTCTAGCAGTCTGAGGCCAGCCAGGACAACATAATGAGAGCCTATCTCAATAAATAACAAAAAATACGTTGGACATGGTGGTGCACACTTGTAAATCTACCAGTCTAGGAAACTAAGGCAGCAGAATCGCCAAGTTTGAACCCAGCTTGGGCAACTTAGTGACTTAGCAAGACCCTGTCTAGAATGAAAAAGGGCTGGGAATGTAGTTCAATGTGAAGGCCCTAGGTTCAGTCCCTAGTACTGTCAAAAACAATATAAAATAGCTGGGGATATAACTCAGAGATTCTGTCGCCTGCCTCACAAGCACAAGGTCCCGAGTTCAATCCCTGGTATTAAAAAAAAAAAGACTATCATTTTTTTAAAAAACAATATAAAACAGGCCAGGGATTTAGTTCAATGGTGCTGCGCCTGCCTCTCAAGTGCAAGTCCTGAGTTTGATCCTTGGTACCGAAAAACCAAACCAGAACAAAACAAATGAACAAAGAACAGTGAGACAATGAACATCTTTGTGAATCAGACCTAATTTTATAGTGTTATTTTCTTCAAATAAATATCAAAGAAAGTATGTGCTTCAAAGTGTAATAACAGATAGGTGTGGTATGTACTTTCTTTTGTCCCGATGACCCACTGAGTAGGGACAGCCATTGTGCCCGATTTGTACTTGAGGGACACTTGGGTCCAGCTTACTGCTGATCCCCCTACCACTTTCATGGTTTGACCACAGCCTATAATCTCTTTGTCCTCTCTCTCCCCCTTCCTTACTTGTGCTCTCATCCCCGTCCCAGATCAAGGAGCTGCAGCTGGTGCTAGCCGAGGCCCATGACAGCCTCCGGGGCTTGCAGGAGCAACTCTCCCAGGAGCGACAGCTACGGAAAGAAGAGGCTGACAGCTTCAACCAGAAAATGGTCCAGGTGGGTGATGCAACTACTCCAGCTTTTCCCAAAACTGAAGGCAAAAGGGCTGGGGTTGTAGCTCCATGGTAGAGTGCTTGCCTAGCATTCACAATGCCCTAGGTTCCATCCCCAGCACTGCAAAAACAGAAACAAAAACACACCCAACTTGAAGGCAGGACATTCCAACCCATGGGGCCTCAAAAGGTGAGAATGTTAGGGGAAACCACGTCTTCTAAGCCGTGTGCTCTGTAGGGAGTCACTGTGCTTGTGATTTTGCATTCATCACGCTAGGCTGGAATCTTGGACTTGCATTGGCTGTCTGTGTGACCTTGGGCCAGTCCTGTTTCCTCTCAAGACCTATTTCCCATATCATAAATGGTACTTCCATCAGATCTGGTAATAAAGATGATAATAAAGATGATAGTCCTGTAATAGAATGTATTGAGCTCTCACTGTATGCCAGGTCTCTGTAACACACTTTCCATACCTTATGTCCTTGAATTTCCATGCCTTCCCCCAGGAGGTGCCTCCATTTTACAGGTGGGAAAACAAGGCCAGAGAATTGAAGTGCTTTGCGCACAATTGCACATCCAGGGCGAAGTGGGGCTGGGATTCTCTTACCCACCCACCACCTAGCAGGGCTACCTAGGATGTTGTGTATTCATTCATTAGGCCCACTTGACCCTGGCATCCCTCCATGCAGGTTACCTGTCCCTGCCATCGCCGCTCACCCCCCAATTCCTCCTTTGGTGTGAGGTTTTGTATGAAACATCTGGCAGCCCGTAGGTGCTGGGTGTATGATTACGTGATTTATTTAGTCAGCCAGCACTGATTCAAATCCCAGCTCTTCCACGGATTTCGATTGGAGCTGCTGTTGCTTTTATGAGTTACTCTCCTCCAGATACAGTAGGGATCCTTCTGAGGGGTTTCCAAAAGGTATCCACCCCCGCATTTTTCCCTTCTGTCTTTGACTGGGTTGGGAGTGGGTGGGAATTAATGGTGGGAGCCTTGAACTGGGCTTTCTCAAGCCTGTGTTCCTGCAGCTGAAGGAGGACCAGCAGAGGGCGCTGCTGAGGCGGGAGTTTGAGCTGCAGAGTCTGAGCCTCCAGCGGAGGCTGGAGCAGAAGTTCTGGAGCCAGGAGAAGAACATGCTGGTACAGGAGTCCCAGCAGTTCAAGCACAACTTCCTGCTGCTCTTCATGAAACTCAGGTGGTTCCTGAAGCGCTGGCGGCAGGGCAAGGTTTTGCCCGATGATGGGGATGACTTCCTGGAGGTATGGTTGGGCCTGGGCCTGGGCCTGGTGAAGTGGGTGGGAGGACAGGGAAGATGGGATGGGTGGGACTCAGCACTTCACATCAGACATCAGTGTTGATGATGATGGGTAGACATTAGTGTGTGTGAGTGTGGAGTGTTACTCAGACCCCCCCAGGGCTGTTCCAGGCCTGGGGTGGGGGGGCATATTGTCTTTCTAAACCCTAAATGATCCTGGAATCCTAAATTTTTAATTCCAAACATACCTGGAGGTTGGGGGTGTGGCTTGGGTACAGTGTGTGCTTTACATTCACAAGCCCTGGCTTCCATCCCCAGCACCAAAGGAAAGCACAGAACAGAAACCAACACCCTGGTCCTGAGGATTTCACAGGGGAATTGTGCACCTAAGTGTGGGTCATCAAAAGACTGTGGGAATAGATCCTCGTGGCCAGCATTGGAGCTGGGGTGCTGATGCTTTAGACAGACCACCTCCTAGCTTCATTATCGTCCTGCATATGTGACATTTGGATCCCTTCTTCATTGGTTTCTAGGATACCATAATTTTGGTTTTCCGTCTGCCTTAGGGGTTCCTTATCTCCATGAATTCGCCTCTTAATTTTTTCTTTGGTGGTGCTGAGGATGTAACCCAGGGTCTTATGCATACTAAGCACATGGTTTACCTCCCGCAACTCCGGCTCCCTGACCTCACCTGTTAAGATCAAAGACTCCAGTCAGGTTTGGTGGAACACACCTGTAATTCCAGTACTCTGGAGGTTGAGGCAGGAGGATCACCAAGAGGTCAAGGCCAGCCTGAACTGCATAGCAAGACTCTTTTGTCTCAAAAAACAAAAAAGATCAGGGTCTCCAAGGCGCGGTCCTCGACTGTATCTCTTTGTCACCTACTCTGATTCCCTTACAGGCTTTCTTGGACATTAAGTTGCAAAATCCCCAGTGTCTCCCATGGGCCTTAGATTTTCATCATCTATGTGGCAGATCCACTTGGTGTCTGATTGGCTTCGAAACCATTTGCCAAAAACCCAGCTCCTACCCTTTCTGTCGGTCATGGCAGTCTCTCCTTGCTCAGGCCAAAAACTGTGGTCCTCTCTCTTTCCTTCACACATCAGCTGATCTGTCAGCAGATCCTTCCAGCTCTCCTTCCAGAACCTGAGCTGTCCTGCCGCTCCCTGACAGGGCCACCGGCCCTTCTTTTTGGATTATTGCCATTGCCCCTAACTGTTCTCGCTCCCCTCCTCTCACACCCTTCCACCAAGCATCTTGTATTCCTGAAGTGAATTCACCCAAGCTTCCTCAGGGGCAGAACCGTGGTGCTCCTCTTGAATGTCTCAGCCCAGACTGACCTTGTGAAGCAGACCCAACTCCGTGTTATTCCATTGCTCACAATCCCTCCCTGGCTCCCCCATACTCTCTCACGTCCCCCTGGCTTCCTTGCTAGTTCTCAGAAAGGAATGTTCTACCTCAGGGCCTTTGGACATGTGGTGCCCTCTCCCTGGCTTTTCCTCCTCCAGCTCTTCCCCGGCTCATCCATCTCCCTCCTTCAGGACGTTGCCAAGTGTCACCTCTGACAGCCTTCTTTGGCTATGTGCAGCACATCCTTGCTCCTTTGCCGGCTTGTTTTCCCCATGGTGCCTGTTACTGTGCAACTTCCATACATCGAACATTTCACACCTTTCACCTGTTTACTTCTGTGTTTTTTTGTTGCTGGAATAGAAAAAGAGCAGGCTTTTTGTCTCTTGTTCACTGATGGATTCCAGGGCCTGGCATGTGGTAGGTGTTCAGGAAATAGCTGTTGAAAGAACAGATGATGAGTGAACACTCCGGTCTAAAGGGGCCCTCCTGCTTCATTCGCATCCTGCACACTGGTGCTGGGCTTGGGTAGGCCTGGACTCCTGCTATCATCTGTCGGACCTTTGGTTGCTCTCATCTGTCATCACAGTGGCAGGGCTGTGGCCCTTTAGTCCAATCACATGCTTACCTTGGCCCAGCCTGGCATTGGGGTTATTTCTGAGTAATTCTGAGGGGTGCTCATGGCCCTTGGGAGGTCAGAAAGCTGTGCTTTTAGCCCTGGATGGTGTCCAAGGGTCAAAATTAAGATTTGGGGGTCCAGGGATATAGCTCAGTGGCGCTACACCTGCCTGGCAACTGCAAAGTCCTGAGTTCAATCCCTAGTACTGAAAAAAAAAAAAAGAAAAAGATTTGGGAACTCAGCTGGGTTCGGTGGCACACGCCTGTAATCCCAGTTCTGGGGAGGCTGAGGCAGGAGGATCGCTGTGAGTTTGAGGTCAGACTGGGCTACATATGAGTTCAAGGCTAGCCAGGATTACACAGCAAGCAAGACCCTGCTCAAAAAAAGCTTTAAAAGATTTTGGAAGGAGGTACTGGCAAAATGCCTTTGGTCCATCTTGAGCCATTCCCCCACTCCTCCTTCCTACCTGGCTGTGCAGCCCCTCACCTGCCTATGCTGCTAGCCAGTGTCCCTGCCCCGGGTGTGACCTCCTCTCACCCCTTGCTGAGTGTGACTTTTAAACTTAGGTAAACAGCATGAAGGAGCTGTACCTGCTGATGGAGGAAGAAGAACTGAATGCCCAGCACTCTGACAACAAGTCTTGCACAGGGGACAGCTGGACTCAAAACACAGTGCGTTCTCAGCCTCTCCCCAGTCCGGTCCACTCAGCAGTCACCTCCTGCCACCTCTGATCCCAGTCCTGCAATGGGTACCGGAGCTACAGAGGGGCAGTGCCTGGTCACTGGGTCCTGGTTGTATAGTGCTATGGGATACATAAATTATCCCAGGGCCATGACAGAAAGCCAGATGGTGGACTGTAGGGTCACAGGCAAGAAAACAGTTAGTTCTATTTGGCATATAGGGAACGGTATCACGGAGAAGGAGTTATAGGTAGTGGATGTTGAAGGACGAATAGGAACTTGCCTAAAAGAGAATGGAGAAAAGACCATTCTGGACCTTCTTGCAGAGATGTGGCAGGTATTCTGGGGTCAGAATGTGGCTTGGAGTAAACATGGTAGGGCAAAGATAGTGAGATAGTGTAACGTGGAAAGGGACCTTCATGGTCTGGAATTAAGAACTCTCAACTTACAGGTCAGAGATCAGTGGGGTCAGACTTCCGGGGCTGCACACAGAGAGAAGAGGAATGGATGGGAAAGAGCCCAGGAGAGAAGGATCCAGGTCAGCATAGCTAGGGAGGCTCTGCAGTGGGTCAGAGGCAGGTCCTGAGTAAGGGAAAGACCCACACCCCGGAGGCTGCAGAGACTCGAGAGTGGGATTCTTCAGCTCTGTTCAGGTGGGAGAACTACAGGAGTTTTATCGTGTGAGGCTGAGGCTTGTGTAGGTCCAAAAAAGCCTCCAGGGCTGGGCTTGTCCTCCCTGTTTCATGATGACATGGCCCGAGGAGGGACTTGCCGAAGCCTCAGGAACTTCTGTGCTGCGGTCCCTGGCGGGTGAGCTCTCTGAGCCCCTGACCCAGCCGTGCTCTGTCTGCAGCCCAATGAGTACGTCAAGACCCTGGCCGACATGAAGGTAACGCTGAAGGAGCTGTGCCGGCTGCTGCGGGAGGAGCACCAGGGGCTGACCGAGCTGCAGCAACAATTTGCCAAGGCCAAGGCCACGTGGGAGACGGAGCGGGCGGAGCTCAAGAGCCATACCGCGCAGGTGAGCCCCCCTGGCAGGGGCCTGCTTGTCCTCAGCTGTGAAATCTGGGAGCTGGATGTTCTGGAGGGATAACCCTATCCCCACACAGCTTTAATCACCTGTGGTTCAGAGGGCAAGGGTCCCAGCGTGGGGACCAGGAGTGATGGGGCCAGGAAAGGAGGCTGGAGGACTGACAGGCAGCTCTGCTGCACTGTGGGCCCACAGGGGATGCCAGCCTAGCCTGCCTCTGGGCATGTCCTGGACACACTTCCTAGACTCTTGTCCCTGCTGTCCTCATTTGTTCCCTCCTCTCCTCCTAGGGATGTCCCAGCCCCCTGATTCCTTGCTCTGCTTTGCTCCCTCCTCTCATACTGGGAGCCTCCCGTCCAACAGCCCAGCCTCACCAAAGGCACCTTAATCAGGATCCCTGGGAGTTAAGTGTCTGCTCTGTGCCTGGGAGCAAGTTGCTGCCCACCCTGGGAGCAGGGTGCCCACTCGGGATGCACGGTCTCCACAGCTCTGAAGGGCTGGGCTCCCGCCTGCTCTGGCCTGCCCCTGCTGCAGGTGCTTCCCAGGCATCAAGGGGCACCGGGAAGAAGATCATTCTGATGATCTCTGCAGGGCGGATGACAAAACAGGCCCAGAGGAGTTAAGTTTCTCTCCAGTGTTACCTAGTGGCGCATCTGCCATGCTCCCTGAGCCTCCACCCTGCCTGGCTCCCAGGAGCAAAATCCCACTTTCTCTCTGTTCTCACAGGCACCTGGCTTCTTCCTGGGTCCCCTGCTCCCTCCCTAAGCCTCCCTGCAGATCTCGCACCACCTGGGGTCTGTCCTCCTGCTGCTCCCCCAAGCCCCACCGTTCCAGAGGCTTAGCCCCCCACCAGCCCCTTGGGATTGACATCCCAGATCACATTCCCCAGTGCTGTGGGACACATTGGTCTGTGACCAAGAAAACTGTCACGCCATGCTGGAGTGGCTCCCGCACACATGCATTGTGACTGCGTGTGTACGTGTGAATATGTGTGTCCTCCCCACGCAGGGTCTTTGGGGGACAAGGCAGGGTCCTTGCTTTCTAGAAAGAGATAAAACATGTTCCCATTAACCAAAACCTGGGCTGCTGGTAATGATTGCTAAATATCAGGAGAAGCAATAACTAGGAACATCTGCCGTTTATAGCTCTGTGACATGGGACGTAGAACCTCTTGGGACCGCTCCCTTTAGGAAACTGGAGAAAGTAGTTCTGTGGCCGAGTTTCCATGGGGACGCTGAGGGAAGGCCTGAGGGCCTGCGGCATGGAGCCTGGTTTGAAGAAGCAGCTCCTTGGTCCTTAGTGGATGCTGTGAGCCAGGAGGGCTCTGAAGGCCTCTGGTGCCCAGGATGGGGAGAGGGTAGAGTGGAGTTCCCTGCTCCTGGCAGCTGCCCGGCCCCTGTCGTTTGCAGATGGACCTGAAGGCTGGGAAGGGGACCGGAGAGCGGGCTGGGCCTGACTGGAAGGCGGCCCTCCAGAGAGAGCGTGAGGAACAGCAGCACCTCCTGGCTGAGTCCTACAGCGCAGTCATGGAGCTGACTCGGCAGCTGCAGATCAGCGAGCGCAACTGGAGCCAGGAGAAGCTGCAGCTGGTGGAGCGGCTACAGGGGGAGAAACAGCAGGCAGAGCAGCAGGTGAAGGAGCTGCAGAACCGCCTAAGCCAGGTGAGGCTGGTTCCAGCACACAGACTTGAACCACAAGAGAGAGTCACCATAGGAGATGTCCTGCATCTTTCAGGAACTGCTGGACCCAGGTGCTCAGACAATGAGGCCTGGGGTAGAATCTGTTTCAGGTATAGCTGCATCCAGGCACTTAGAGATTACAATAAGAACTAGGTCTTTCTCTGTGCTTCAGTCTCAAGCCTGCTTTCTTCTGTGTTAGCTTTACTCTTCCCCCACCCCCACAGTTCTGGGGATCAAACTCAGGGCCTTGTACTTGTGAGGCAGGCACATTGCCACTGAGCTAAGTCTCTGGCCACTCTTTTTAGTTTTTGAAAGGGGTCTCGAGCCCCCTTTGGGTGCCCCTTGCCCAATTATGCCACTCATGCACCGAGAGGTCCGGCAGGACATCTTTATTGTAGGGAGGCGAGCGGGAGGCAGGAAGGCAGAGAGCGAGAGAGCGAGAGCGAGAGCGGAAAGAGGAAGTACTGGGATACTTATAGGATGGGCAATGGAAGATCCTTCCTTGGGGGGAGCGGTCTTTGTTATCCTATCGCAAGCCAGGTTGTCTTTTGAATTTTGCGCCTTGGAGAGGCTCTAGTTTCGCGCTTTACAATTTCGGCAGGAGAAAGGACTCAGTCGGGGAAGAAACCGGAAGTAAGATATAAAATGGCTGGGGGGGATTATATTTTAACATGTGCGATCTCCTAACAGTTTTTATTTTGAACACGGGTCTTCCTCGATTGCTAAGTTGCCCAGGCCTGGGCTTAAACTTGGGATTCTTCTGCCTCAGCCTCCCAAAGCGCTGGGATTACAGGCATGAGCCACTATGCCTGGCTTCCTTGGGGCGTATATTTGCCACCATGATGTGGAATAGGCGCTACTTAGCCGATCTGTCTGTTCCCAGAACTGGACACGAATTAACGCAGCAATAACATGTGGTCCTGTGTTAGATATACTGATACCTCTAAGGATTCCTGCAGTACTTCCTTGTGATGTCATTTTCCAATTCTACCTTGTGGGTGGCTCAGAACTGCTACTACTGAAAATCTGGCTCCTGATCTGTGACATGGGTCCTCTGGCTGCAGAGTGGAGCCTGGGGTGTGGCTCTGCTCAGAGTCCCTGCTCAGCCGCTGTGCCTGCCACTGAAGCACCTCTTTGCCCTTTTCAGCTGCAGAAGGCTGCTGACCCCTGGGTCCTGAAGCACTCAGACCTGGAGAAGCAGGACAACAGCTGGAAAGAGGTGAGGGTGTTGCTGCCACCCACGTTCTCTTGGCTTCTGTCTATACCATACATTTAGTTGTCTTATTTATGGGGGACATGACAAGATGCTAGCCCTGTCCCCCCAGGGCTCCTTGGGGTCCTCGGCCCTGCCATCTGTACCCCGAGGTTGCATGGTGTGTGACTCAGGAAGGGTCCTCTGCCAGGACCATCCTTCCACTCCTGGGAGGAACCTCTCCTGTCTTAGTATCACTTGTGCCTCTGCGGAGAGCAAGGCCTCTAAATGGCTGTGTGATCTTGGGTGTGTTACTCCGCACCCCTGGGCCCCAGTTGCCTCATAAATGAGAATCAAATGTTCCATCCTGGCCTAGGCCAGGGGATAGAGAACAACGAGGTCACATTAATGACATCTACACATAAAGCTCAAGTGCATTGTCCCTGTAGCAGTGTGCTAAATAACCAGATGGAACCTTTAAATAGCCAGATGGCCCATATGGTCCCATCACAGCCTGAGGAAGTAGTGTGTCACTCAGGGACTTGAATCCAAACAATAAACATCTCTTCTGGGGAGCTGAGGCAGAAGAATTCTCTTGGGAGCTCAGGAGCCCTAATAATAAGGTTATAGGGGCTGTGTCTCTAGAACCAGGGTAGAACAAGCCCAGAGCAGTTGCTGCATGGTCATTGCTGTCACTACAAACAAAAGAGCTGGCCATGGGGTACTTTGTTGCTGCCACCACATTGGGAATAAGTTTTATATGGTCATGCTTTCCTTGGGGGGGTCATTCTTGGGGCCTCAGCTGCCCCACCCTGAACCTCATTCCTAGAGTAGAAGACTTAGATACAGCACAGCCAGAAGCTGACCAATGGGGCATTCAAGATCATTGGTGACATTATTCAGCTCTCCAGATCACATGCCGCAGGCATGGAGGGCCAGGCCTAGCTCCCACACTGTCCTCCTGTCACCTTCCGTCAGTGGCCGGAGCTGACCCTTCCTATTTTTCTTCAACAGACGAGAAGTGAGAAGATCCACGACAAGGAGGCTGTTTCCGAAGCTGAGCTTGGGGGAAGCAGCTTAAAGAGGTGCTGGCAGCCCTTGCCCTGCCCTGCCCACAGCCCAGCCCACCTGGCCTGCATCATCCCCTTTTCAGAATTGAGAGTTGGGGTGTGATTTCTGTGGAACCCAAGTCACTCAGGAGCAGAAAAGCCTGGGGGAAATGGGGATTCCAGTCTTCAGTTTGATGTTCGTTTTGGATTCTGGGCGTGGAAAACTGGCGCCTTAGCATATTCTCACTGGCACACCATTTAGCTCCTCGGGTTCTTTCTTCTATCTCTAGATTCCGGAGAGTTGCAGTGGGCATCATGATGGGATTTTAGGTGGCAACCATTGAGCACAGCTCCAAGAAGACTCCTGAGACAGGACCGTATCTCACTGATAGGAAACCCATGAAAGGAGTGAGGGAGACAGCACCTCCCCAGAGCATTCAGAGGCAAGGGGCCCAAGTGTAGGAGAACAAGCACTGCAGCCAGGGGGCCAGGTTTGATATCTAGCTCACCCTGGGCAGTACCTCTCCTCTCTAGTGGGATAATAGGAGCTGCCCCCTAGCTGTCAGAATGGTCAGGCATGTACAGCGGACTTCCATGTGCCCGGCACTTCAGCTAGTAAGTGCCCTGTGTGTGCTGGTTATTTAATGGGCTCCCAGCCAAAGCAACCCCTGAAACGAGGATTTACATGCAAATAGTTTATTTGGGAGAGGACTCCAGGAAACGCCTAAAGTGAGACAGGGAAGGAAGAACAGTCAGTAAAAGGATTTGTTTGGTGAGCAGTTGATACTCGGTCTTGCTGAGGAACTCTGGGAGCCAGGAGAGAACATGCAGTTCAGAGTTACTCATCAAGGAACCTGGGGGAACCGGCTGAAAGCTCCAGAGGCTGCCGTGCCTACTCACCAAGTCCTACTCGGGGTTTGTTGAGATCTATGTTTGGGGGCATTAACTGTGCTCTTTCTAGCTTCCTGACTAGAGACCAAGTATGTTGGTTCCTTTTCTCTCGTTGCTGAGACAAAATACCCAACACCCAAAGTTAAAGGGAAAGGTTTGTTTAGCTCATGATTTGTAGAGGTTTCAGTCCGTAATTGGCTGGCTCCAAGGCAGGGTGACTTGGTAAAGGGGCATTGCAGAGGAGCCACAGTTCATGGTGGCCAGAATGTAGCAAAAGCAACCAGGGACCTTAACAGCCTCTTTCTTCTCCTTTTATCCAGACTACCAGGATTAAGGTGGTATCACACCAATCACTCACGTGTAGTGGTTTAATAACCTTAATCCTAGCATCACACATTCCAGGATTTAGCTACCTTCAAAAAAGACTGCATGAGGCTTTGTGGGGACATCTAGACGTGAGCTACAACACCCAGTATGTGCCCATAGCCAGAAAAAAGGCTCTGAGGTAGAAGTCAGCAGGTGTTCAGAGGATGCAGGAGGGAGTAAGAGTGCTGGGAAGACACCCACAGTGACTTCCAGAGGTGAGCAAGCCAGCCCTGGCCCTGGCCTGCACACACCAACGAAGTAGACAACTTACGTGCTCAGCGTGTTATTTTCCACTAGTACCACTTTTTCTGTTCTCTCACCAGGACCAAATCTGTCTCCTCTATGTCTGAGTTTGAAAGTTTGCTCGACTGCTCCCCTTACCTCACTGGTGCAGATGCCCGGGGCAAGAAGCTACCCAGCAGCCCTGCCTTTACCTTTGTGAATCCTGAGCCAATGGATCCAGAGAAAGAAGCCAAGGAAAAGCCAGGGCTGTCCTCACAGGACTGCAACCACTTGGGAAGCCTGGCCTGTCAGGACCCCGCTGGGAGGCAGATGCAGCGCAGCTACACAGCTCCAGACAAGACAGGCATCCGAGTCTACTACAGCCCCCCAGTGGCCCGGCGCCTGGGTGTGCCTGTGGTCCATGACAAGGAGGGCAAGATCCTCATTGAGCCCGGCTTCCTCTTCACCACAGCCAAGCCCAAAGAGTCAGCCGAGGCTGATGGGCTAGCTGACAGCTCCTACGGCCACTGGCTCTGCAACTTCTCCCGGCAGCGCCTGGATGGGGGTTCCGGGAGCAGCACATCGGCTCCTGGGTCTGCCTTCCCTACCACCCTGCATGACTTTGAGATGTCGGGCAACATGAGTGACGACATGAAGGAGATCACCAACTGTGTGCGGCAGGCCATGCGCTCCAGCTCACTGGAGAGGAAAGTGAAGAGCGCGTCCAGCCAGACGGTGGGCCTGGCCAGCGTGAGCACGCAGACCATCCGCACGGTCAGTGTGGGCCTGCAGACGGACCCACCACGCAGCAGCCTCCACGGCAAGAGCTGGTCACCCCGCAGTTCTTCACTCATGTCCGTGCGCAGCAAGCAGATCTCCTCCTCCCTGGACAAGGTCCATTCACGCATCGAGCGACCATGCTGCTCACCCAAGTATGGCTCACCGAAGCTCCAGAGGCGGTCTGTGTCCAAGCTGGACAGCACCAAGGACCGAAGCCTGTGGAACCTGCACCAGGGCAAGCAGAACGGCTCGGCCTGGGCCCGCTCCACCACTACACGGGACAGCCCCGTGCTGCGGAACATCAACGACGGGCTGTCCAGCCTCTTCAGCGTGGTGGAGCATTCAGGGAGCACGGAATCTGTCTGGAAACTGGGCATGTCTGAAGCCCGGGCCAAGCCTGAGCCTCCCAAATACGGCCTTGTGCAGGAGTTCTTCCGTAATGTGTGTGGCCGGGCACCAAGCCCCACCTCGGTAGCAGGGGAAGAGAGCTCCAAGAAGCCAGAGCCCCTCTCTCCAGCCAGCTACCATCAGCCAGAGGGTGTGGCTAGGATCCTGAACAAGAAAGCAGCCAAAGCAGGTGGTGTCGAGGAGGCCAGGGCCACCATGCTCCCTCAGGTGGGGAAGGATGGTGTCCCACGGGACGGAGATGGAGCTTCCGTCCTTCCCAATGAGGTGAGTGGGTGCAGTTTGCCCTTTTTCTTGGGAGAGGGGATTAGCTTGTAAGGTCCAAACTTATTTGGTTTTTAAATTCGAAGCATATGATCCCACGTCTCAAAAAGTTATGATGGCCGGGGATGACGATGGAAGGTCCCAGTCTGGGAACAGCACAAACCTAGTGGTCACATGGTCTAAATGCCAAGAAACCAATGAGCATGGCTTAAGTGGCTTCTTTGCCACCACACAGCAGTGATCTCCAGGGGAGAGGTGTGCCCACTGCTGTCGCCCCCAGTGGTATTCCGAGTGGCTTGTTGGGGCTGTGAGAGCCAGTCATAACTGTTTTGCGTTAGTAGTATTGCCTTGGTACCTGAGATTGTCCAGGTGGGAGTACTGACACCATAAAAATAGGCAAAGGCTATCTGCAAATCAGAGTTCCTCCCTTCACTCCTAGAAATCTTTTTCTCCTCTCCTGTTTCCTCCCCTTCTCATGGTGCAGGGGATTAAACTCAGAGCATCCTGCATGCTAAACAAACACTTTACCACTGAGCTACACTCCCAGTTTTTCAGACAAGGTCTCACTCAGCCACCCTGGCTGGGTTCAAACTTGCAGTCCTCATGCCTGAGTCTCATGAGTAGCTGGGATTACAAGCATGGGCCCATCGTACCTAGCTGATAACTGGTTAAACATTAACCCACCTGCCACTTCCCATCTGCATTTCCCAGCCAGGAATGATAGCACAAACCTGTAATCCCTGCACTCTGGGAGGCTAAGGCAGGAGGATTACAAGTTTGGGGGACAAGTAAAAAATAAATTATAGAAAGGGGCATGGAGATACAGTTCAGAGCAAAAGCCCTGGATTGAGTTCCCAGTACTATTGAAAAAAAGACTTCCCAGGACCAGGGATTTAGCTCAGTAGTGCCACCGCCTGCCTCGCAAGCGCAAGGACCTGAGTTTGATCCCTGATACCAATAAAAAAAA